GCGCGGTAAGGGGAGAGCGAATTTTAATTTTAATGAGCTTCTAGGGGAGAATAATATATGCGAAAAAAAGTATTTCTCTTTTTTTTAACAAACGAACAATCAAGAAAAAAACATTACAAAATTTTCTTTCTAGCTAGTAGTACCACTCACATAGTTTTCCTTGCATGTCGAATATGTCCGTTTGATTGGTCCAAACGAAGAGTCCATTTCCCGCCTTTGATGGGGATGCGGTATCTGGTGACGCCGATAGGGATACGAGACCAAGGTCCACCAGGAAGTTTGGCGACGGTGGAGGGTAAATGGGAAAGAAGACTACAAAGTGGTAGAGGATGTTCTCTACTGTTTATTTCTTTTTTAGGGAGTATAATGTTATTATTACAGTCACTAATTGGAACACTGTTCAGAGGGATGAAGCATTTTTCGATTAATTTTACCGGTTTAGTAAGTATTATTGAGTTCGTGATCATGGGTTTTTACTTTTTTTCTTTTTTAGGAGGCGACTGTTTTTTTAATTTCGGGGTTTTCATTTGCTTTATAATTTTTTCTTTAGCAATTTCCGACATTGCAGACAGTTTCACGACCGGTTTTTTAATTGTGGTTTTAATGCGATTAATTCTCACAACGGGCACAACTTTTTCCTCTTTGATTTTTTCCTCTTCTTTTATGCAAATTTCAATTAATGTGGACTCGAAATCGTCTTTTTGATAATTGGTGGCGGCGTGGCGATACGTTTGGCGGGAAGTTGACTTGACGGTGGTTTAGGAACAGGGGAAAACACTTTTGTTTTTTCGTAGGTTCTGCCCGAAATTGGTTGCAAAGGGGCCACTGCACTACATTGCACTGAACTTCCCGGAAAATTGTTATTATTAGATCGAAAAAAATGTTGATAATTAATATCAAATTCTAAGATTTCTAAGTTAAGATTCGCCATATCTAACGCGTCGCTTTTTATTTTGGCGCGTTCAAGGCGAGCTAATTATATTGTTTTTGTTGTATATTAAAATTTTTAGCTAAATTACTTATAATTAGTTCAAATGCATCCTGCAATTTTTCTATTCTTAATGTAGCTGCATTATTGTTTTGAGAGTTTAACCGCGTGTCTTGGAAGCCGGGCTGGAAAAATTCTCGGCTGTAGGTAAGGAAAGCAGGAGTGAAGTCGGTTGACGTGTGCTTCGCGGTGTTGTAGGCAAATTGTAATTCTGCTAGATGTCTATCCCAGTCTGGTTTCTTGCTATCGATATATTGTCTGATCATTGTCTTGATCACCTTATTGACTCGTTCTACTGTATTACACTGCGGTGAGTAAGGTGGGGTGAGACGATGCGGGCATCCAAATCGATAAAAAATTTCTTTCAATGTAGAAATAAAAATTTTTGATGTTGCTTTCTTTAGTGGTTTTAATTCAACTTATTTTGTAAAACGATCTTGTATAACACAAAGCATAGTATTACCTGGAGTTGTTCTTGGTAGAGGGCCTATGAAGTCGATCGAGAGCATTTCCCATAGATTTCCTACTAGGGTAGCGTGCATTTTATTTACTGCTGCTTATTGAGAGCTTTTGTTGCGTTGACAGTTTTGACAATTCCTGACGTAAGATGCTCTATCTCGTAACATTCCGGACCAGAAAAAAAATTCTCCTAGGCGTGCTAAGGTTTAAGCCACATCGAGATGACCTGAAGTTTCTTCGTCGTGTACTTTATGTAGAATCTTCTCTCTTTCTTCTTTAGGGACACATAATTTCCATTGATTTTCAAAAGGTGTGTCTTTGAAGGTGTGAAGTACATGATGAAAAAGTTTGTCGTCTTCAATTCCATTGGCAGGAGGGTAGTTTGTCAATTATCGAAACTTGTAAGGGCACGCGAGAGAGGTAATCAGGAAGTTTATTTTCGACTCCTTTTTTATATTGGACTTCAAAGTCCTATTGGGCCAGCTCCATTATCCAACGCGCTAATCTTCCTAACGGAGTTACAATACAATTCAGGCATTTTAGAGCTTGATAATCTGAGGCAACTATAAAATGATAACCTTCTAGATAGTGTCGCATTTTCCATATGCCCCATTTTACTGCAAGGCATTCAATTTCCGTGACTGAGTAGTTCTTTTCTGCTGGATTTAATGTGCGGCTAGCATATGCGATGACGTCTTCAGTTAAACCAATTCTTTGTGTTGTTACCGAGGCCTTCGAGAGTAGCATCTGTTTGTAGATAGAAAGGATGCGACCAGTCAGGACAGGCTAATTGTTGATCTTCTTCCCACAACCATGGTGTGTCCTTTTTTAATAACTTGATTAACGAAGATATCAAAACCGAGATATCCTTTATAAACCGACGGTACCAAGATACCATACCTAAGAATTTTCTTAACTCTTTTAGGTTAGAAGGTGAAGGTAATTTCAAAATGGCGTCCACCTTATTAGGATCTAGGTGTATTCCGTCTTTATCCACTAGATGGCCAAGGTAGGTCAGTTGAGTGCGGGCGAAGAAACATTTCTCCCAATTAGGGACTAATTTAGCTTAACGAAATCTCGTAAATACTGTTTTCAGTAACCCGATATGTTCCTCGAATGTTTCCGATGTAACAACGATGTCATCTGGGTATGAAAATACATTTGTTGCCAAATCTGCGGGTATTACTAGATCGATATGGCGTTGAAACGTTGCTGGGGTGAGTGTAGTCCAAAAGGCATGACTACAAATTCGAAGAGACCCATACCGGGTACTGTAAAAGCTGTGAGCTGCGAACTGTCTTCTGTTAACTCTACCTGCCAATAACCGTTTTTTAGATCGAGTGTTGAGAGGTATTTTGACCCCTTAAGCTGGTCAGGGATACTGTTGATACGGGGTAATGGGTAAGCGTCTTTTTTCGTCACTTTATTTAGTTTCCGAAAGTCTATACAAAATCTTAATTTACTGTTTTTTCTTTTAATTAACACTACAGGCGAACTCCACGCACTACTGGATTTTCTAATCACTTTTCGTTTCAACATTTCCAGAGCTTCCTGTCTCATGAGTTCCAGGGTTAGTGGATTTCTGGGCTGGTAACGTTGTTTAATCGGCGTTGATTCTTCGAGGCGAATTTCATGCTTTAACAATGGTGTATGACCTTTTATCTCTTGAAATAAAAGTTTTTCTTTTTCAATATAAGCACTCAATTCGTTTTCTTGCTCTTTACTAAGTGATGTTAATCCTGAAGGGCCGATTTCACAAATATCAACCTTAAATGACTCATTTAATAGCCTATATCTTGGTTATTAATGAGAAGTGAAAAGTTGAATTTCTGCAGCAGGTCCATACCAATCAGCATAGGTTGGGATAAGTCTGTTAGAACCAGGAACTTATGTTTTACTTTAGTAGTTCCGGCAACCATTTTCATTTTGAAACTGGTTTTTATTTCATACTGTGTTCCGTTCGCCAGGGCCACCTTTATGTCTTCTAGATTTGAGACTCCTCCTAGATTGACCAGGCGATTAGCTGTGTTGTTGTCGATGAATGAGCACATTGCTCCAGTATCTACTAGGGCTTGAATCACCAGGTCTCCACAATTACAATTCATAAATATCCGGGAGTCTTTAGGGCAAAAGGTCGAACTTACTCCGATGGTTCGAGCCTTTTCGCGTTTTTTGGTTTGTTGTACTTGCATTCTCGAGTGAAAATGCCTTCCTTCCCACAGTAGGAACAAAATTTCTTCGGTTTGCTCCTGTAGACTGGACGACGATGGCCCGATTTTCCTCAACGTCAACAGTAAGTCTTCGGGTCATAGGGCTTGGACACTTCATCGACTTGGGGAGGGTTTTTATAGGGCTTTTCTTCTTTTGTAACTGCTTTCAAAATTTCTGATATTTCTTCGACTCTGAGAATAAAAGAGCCTACCGAATCAAAATCTTGTCTGCGAATATACAATCTGTATATTGGTTGCATATTCCAATACAATATATCCCATTCGCGAAGGAGATCGTAGCCTCCGTGTCTTCGCATCATAGTTTGGAGTTCCGTCGAGAAATCGCGGATGGGTTCGGATTTACCCTGAATTTTGTTTGCTATCTGGAATTCTAAATTCCTAAATTCACTAGGTGAAAGGTAGAATCGTCGTAGGGCTGTGGTAAGTTCTTCTAGTGTCCTTGACGTACGGATTTCGTTCCTATACCGGAGAAAAGCGCTACCTTTTAATAATTCGGGAAATCCTCGTAACATTTGTTGATTCGATAAACCGTAAGCCGCCTGAAGTTCTTCAACGCGTTCGAGAAAAGAGTAGGGGTCTTTACCGTCGAAAATGAATTCCCATTTTCTCATAGCCTCCATGACATGGGTAGCACTAGGTTCACGCGTTTGCAATGGGAAGTTTAACGGTGTGATTGGATTTAAAGGTGGATCAGTTACCCTGGGGGGCTGCATGTTCTGGGAACTCGTCGAAGCTATGTCTAAAAGACTTTTGGGTGCTTCTAGGGCTCCTAGGTCTATGGATATATCGAGTGCTTCGTTGTAGTCCTCCGGGTCCTTGTTGAGTTCCAGAATCAATAACTCCCTTCTACGCAATGCTCTAACAAAAAAAAATACTCTTCAAAGTCGACGACTCAACACTCTCCGTATATAAAGTATTGATACCCTCTTCGATCGCCTTCTTCTCCGTCTCGTTCCGGATGTGGCCGCCGTGATGGCGCCACGTTCTGGACACCTGCTCTGCCTTGTCCCCAAACTCCCAAACGCGCGAAACTCAACCCCAGTCGAAAATTACATTGTGACGAATTACTTTGTCATAATACTTAACACAATTTATAAAAATTCGGGAGTCTGGAGAGGATGAGGTCGAACTTACTCAGATTGTTTGACCTTTTCCTCGTGTCTCGATTTCTTACATTGGCATTGTTTGTAAAAATACCTTCTTTGACACAATACAAACAGAATTTTTTTGGTCTGCTCCTGCAAACAAGACGTTGATGTCCTGATTTACCACAGCGCCTTGAATCTTTAAGGTGTAAAAGCAAAATTAAATAGCAATAAAAATATATTCAAATTTGACAATTTACTTTTAAAATGGTACATATTTAACATTGTTTATAATATAACATACATATATATATAACTATTATTCACTTCGTGAATGTTTTTAATCAAAATATGGTAGAAAATATGTTGGAAAACTTTTAATCATTTGCATAAACAAAAAATATTGTAATGCATTACAAAATGAGGTGTACTTACAAATTGTATGTATATACAGTTATGACTCGGGTAGTGAGAAAGTTTTCTTTAAAACTCATCTCATTACAATATCTTAAATTACATACATACACTATTCGGTAAATATCTCGGGGGTGTAAATATCCCCTTGAGTTACGCACACAGTATGCATGTAAAAATTGTCTGTCACTAAAAAAGTCGAGTAGAAAATATCCGGATGCATTGTACATTGAGAACGACTAAAATTCGTCGGTAGTCGAAACATTGTTATACATATATCATTTGAATCTCGCGTAATGATATGCCATTAAATTATGCTTTTATTTGAAAAGAAGTAAAAAAATAGTTTGTAAGAATACATAAAATGTTTGTAATTATAGAAAAATAAGAGGAGTTTTTGTTTGTTCCTCTTCAGAAAAATGTACGGAAGAGATTAAGAGAGATGATTAATGTATCTAAGTTAAGATTGAAATCGTCTGCTTTCTACTGATTATACATAAATTTTACGTGAATTTAATTTTTCTTTCTTAAGATTAAAACTTATTCAATCTTCTAAATTACTACTGTGAATGATATTTTCTTAAAATTATAATGTCCTGTTTACTGTTTTCAAGTTTGTAGTTGCAACGGGTAGTTCATCATCTAGAAAAAAATATAAGTATAGTTTACACTTGATTTCTAAAAGTAAAAATATTATTAAATCAAAATAAAAAAAAACAAATTACATATTTTTTATATTTATGAAGTAAATATGTATAAAATAATATATATTTAACTATTAAAGCAATTCATGATATGCGGAAATTTTTTTAAAAGTTTAGAAGGAAGAATGCCTCATTAATAGAATTAAATTTTAAACGTTAGTACAGTCAAACCCCGCAACGTGCATATACTCTCAATCTGATCAGTCTTAAAAATTAGTAAAACTCGCTACTTGACTAAAAATAAAGGGGCGAGTGTTTAACAATGCTAGTCACTGGAAGGGTGAGGTGGGGAGAGATTCTTAGGTGAGTCAGGTTGCGAGTTTTAGGGAGGAGGAAAATTCAGGAAAATATGCAGGTTGCGTGGTTTATTTGTACTGCAAAAAGTAGTAAAGTATATTTTAAAGAACTTATATCACAAATAACTTATCTTTTAGAGTAATTTTTTAATTATTGCATTTTAATTTACCGTATTCATTTTCACTTAATTGTGGAGAAAGTTTACATCCCTTAGATAAATAGGATTTTAGTTTTCCTACACTGGCTAAAATTAACCCTAGGAATGGCGGAGAGGGTTCTAATGGCCGCGATAAGTACTCTGGATGAAACTGAGTAGCGACGTAGAAAGGATGTCCTTCTAATTCCATGATTTCCATTCTCTCCAAATTTTCATCGTGACCTAGAAAAAGAATGTTAAAATCATATTACCTACCATGGTCTTTTTCTGTTACTAAGTTTACACTACATACTCGAGAAATGAGAGAGAGAGAGAGAGAGAGAGAGAGAGTAAGAAATCTCAGTCGCTCTTGACTTATTGTTTTCAGTCTACGTAGTCAAAGTATTTCAATTATGACAAATAAACCTAGTAGATGTGCAGCTTCTTAACCCTCGGAGCACAGCAGGGGTCTGAGAGACCCCAGTTTCAACTTTTGCTTAGTATCTATTGTAAAAAGTTCAAAATTTGGCGAGTCTGAAGCCATCTGTTAGAACTTTTAGGTATTGACTACACGTTCAGATACATACCAACTACATTGCAATAGTCTTGTGGCTTGAACAGTCTTGAAAATCGAATTGGGGTCACACAGATGACACAGTGTGCTTCGTGTCGATTTAGGCAATTATACTTTTTGTTAAAAAATCTTTACAAGTTTGTTTGAAAGAAAAATTAGTGGTTTCGTTTATTTCCTTTTTAATAATTAAATTACAAGGTATATCAAAAAATATATAACGGCCTACAATCTGCGATCACGTGTGCAAAAAATGACTTTTAAATTTTAAGTATGAATTACAAGTGAAATTACATGTGGCCAAATCTATACGTGTATTTTTTCAATAGGGAGAACTGTGAAAACTACCTGAAGTCACACAGACCCCCGCCCCTGGGGTGCTACTTGTTTGAAAAAATAGGTGTGTTCTCTGAGGGTTAATTAAATTTAAATAATTACTATTAGATTTACTATATAGAAAAAACGTACCAACAAATTTCATTCCAGCTGCCTCTAGATCAGGTTTATATTTAGTATTAACTTCATATCGATGCCGATGACGTTCTTCAATGGTTTCTTTATTGTCATATAATTGCTCTGCGGAAAGAAAATATAGGTTTCATTAGATAATGAATATAATACTAAACAATTATTAAAAATTCTCGAAAAGACGGACATACAGTTAGATTAACAAATTGTTCAAATTAGAACACTATTCTTTAGTAGTTGCTTAACCTCATAAAAGAATGTTTATTAAAGACCATTTTTAAGTTCTACTATAGACTAAAAAGGCAAATAATTTGGACTAAATTTATATAGCAATTTCTGAGTACAAATCTAATATAATTTTTTTAACAGAGTAAGAAAGAGTTTAAAAAAACAAATAATTACATACGAATAATAGAATTTCCTCCCGTAAAACAAGTTGCTCTTTTTCCCAGTCTCATTGTCCCACCCATTTGCCCTGGGTTATGTTCTGGCATATCAATAACAACAGGATTCTCTGTTTCACTGTCAATTTCTGTGCTATTTGCATTACTTAAACTTAATACATTGCGTGCAAATTCTATTACAGCAGTTTGCAATCCTAAACATATTCCAAGAAAGGGTTTGTTGTTAGTTCTGCACCATTTACATGCTTCTATTTTTCCTTCTAAACCTCTCTTTCCAAAACCACCTGGCACAATAACTCCACTAAAACAGAAACAAAAAAAAATTCTTATTAATACATACATTGTTACAAAACTAATCAAGGAGTGTTTAGACGTCTTTCAATGTTTTAAAAAGATTAAGAGGATTTTCGGAGATATTGTAAGTACAGTAGAACCTCGTTTATCTGACTTTCGATCAGCTGAAACTCCGCGTTAACCAAAGCACAAAGCGCTGCTCGGATAAATATTTTAACAGGACCTCTTACTCAGGTTTTCATCAAGTACCTATGAAGATAATTGTCATAAAAAGAAAAAACATCCAAAATTTAAAAGAAGAAACAGAAAGCATCGAGGGCTAGAAACATCAGTATCCTCAACTTCCAATTCAGATTCTGAAACCTTAGAAACTTCACTTCGCAAATAATTATAAAAATTGTTTAATGACAAAAATGAAAAAATAATATTACAAATTATTTTTTAAATAAAACTTTATATTACAATTAAAAAATTTTATCTCGTAAGATACAAGTATATATGTTAAGTACAAAACCCGCAATTATACAAAGCGCGAAGTGTACAGCAATATTTGTACAAAGTGCGGAGTGTACAAGCTATTTTGTACAGAGCTGGAGTTTCTGGGCTTGCTACAGATTTTCCTGTACGGAGCCAACTCGGTACAATTCCATTTGTACAGAGCCTTCGAAATCGGTTGTAATGTATAAAGGTGATTAGAATTTTGTTTACTGTTTACGTTTGCGATTGCTTTATCAATTTAGTGTAATAGTAGCCTTCCTTGAAGATACATTATTATTGCTTACCAATAAAATGGATACTTTTGAAATGGAAAATGAATTTTAAAAAAATTGAATGAGTTGACTATTAAAGATAATTCTCTCACTATAGCTAACGAAAACGATTATAATGAAATAATAAAGAAAGTGTTAGATTCAAAAAATTATAGTAAAAAAACTTCGAGTAATTATCGATGGTTAAAAGGATTTGACGTATTATGTGTTAACAAAGGAAAAAAGTTAATATTACCATTAAATAAAAGTGAAAGTGATAATATAAAATATTATGTGCTTAATAATGAAATTTTTGATTTGTTAAAAGCGGCACATGTTTCAACTGGTCACGGGGGATTATATAAAATGTATAATAATTTGAAGGATAAATACTCCAATATTACTGGTCAATCAATATAACTGATTTTGAGTGTTTGTGATTGTGAAACTTGCGTTAAAAAGATAGCGCATCTAAAAAAAAGAGTTGTGGTGAAGTCCATATTAACAAAAGAGATATATGCACGCGGGCAAGTTGACTTGATTGACATACAATCAAGCAAAGATGGTGATTACAAATTTATATGCAAATACCAAGATCATTCAACAAAATTTACCATCCTAAGGCCGCTTAAAACAAAAACAGCAATAGAAGTATGCTATAATTTAATAGATATATTATGCATCTTCAAATTATTGAAGAAACTGTTGAGCCTTCACCAGAAACTCTTATAAATGAATGCCATGAAAATAAAAATAAACGGGTGGCTATTGAAGGACTTGAGTAGTTGTGGCGTGAAGCGCCATCTATTTGTCTTTTGGAACTATTGCGTACTATGATTTAGAGGAGAGCTATACACTACCGTCCGAAATTGTGCGAACTCTGCTTTTTCAACAGCTATAAAACTGTTCAAATCTTCAAAAATATTAAAACTAAAATTTTTTCCTCTTTATTTTATTAAAGCTAATAAAATTCTGAAAGAAATGACACCTTGACAAAGAGAATATGTTAATTTTTCAATTAGATATCTAAGAAAAACCCAATTTTCAATGTTTTTACTATTTTTCTTATTTCTCTGGCAAAAATTAATATTTTTAAACGTTCCTAGGCTCATTGAAATCGTATTTTGTTATGCAATTCAAATTATATAAAACAATTCATGTACACATTCTTCCCTAGCGTATGCAAACCGTGAAAGTTGGCTCATAAAATGTCAAAAAATTTAAATTTAATTCTACAATACAAAGGTACCTTTAATATACGCGATCGCGTTCACCAGGAGTTAATTCCGTAATTTATCCAAAATGTAAGTTACGCTATCACGGCAAACGAAAACTAGAACGTGCACTCTGAGGTAATCGCCTACAGAGAAAACTAGAAGGGAAACGATTGGGTTGATAAATCAGGTATATACCTGATACTCTTCACTGACGTGAACTAGGAATATTAAGGAACATCTGTGGGAAGTATCTTAGACCAGGGGTCACCCTGAGTTACAGATACGGCCCTGAGCTTCGCATCCAGGTGATAGAGATTGCCCCTCTACTCACCTGGGGCGGTGAACGAGAAAAGAAGTACCTGTCTCTACATCCTTTCGCGCGAGCGCCGACAGAGAAGTCGCGAAGACGGTACTCTAGGTTCTTGGAAGTGACGTCATACTCACATCCTCTCGCAGGAGCACCTACAGAGAAGTCGCAAGGATGACGTTCCAGGTACTTGAAGGTATCTTCTCGGTCTCTCGCAGGAGCTCCTACAAAGAGTCCAAGTCGATGAGAAACAAGGAGGTAAAGTACGGTTCACTTGACACGGAAGCACCCATAGTTAAGTGTACATCTAGGCAGAGGTGCACCTCAAGCCAGTCGGAAGACGAACTAAGGTAAAAGGTGCGAGCCGCTAGGTATATACTCTCGCTAGGCAGCCAGAGGCGTTAGCGCGAGGTGGGGGGAGAGAGAGACGCTGCTACTTACGCCGTCTACTTTCTCTCTCTTCGCCGGGCGAGTATACGCCTATCGTTACAAAGTTTAATTGTCATGCATGTTTTTTATAGGTGTTATTATTGACGTAACAGAATATAGTTACTATATAGTTAGGACGAAAAATGGAATTATTGCACAGATGTTCAGTTGAAATCAACTGGCACCAACGAATACTGACTTTTAAAAAATTGACGATGTTCCTAATATTACGATTTCCATACGATCTGCAAACAACAAGACTTCACTCTGTGGGAGACAAGGTTTTGTAAAATGCTTTTGTTTGACTAAATGCACGACTAAGAAATGTGCATGTAGGAAAAAAATGTGATGTGCAATTCTAGGTGTCATAATTCTTTTAGTTGTACAAATACATAATTAAATATTTTTTATAAAAGTTTGTATTTAAATTGACAACAAAGCTTTACATGAAATAAATATGACTAAATTAATTTCAAATTTAAAAATAAAATTTATTTTTAATTAAATTACTTTTTATTGTGATATATATTCATAAAGCAAAGGTAAACAGTAAACAGAATTTTAATCACCTTTATACATTATAACCGATATCGAAGGCTCTGTATAAATGGCATTGTACCGAGTTGGCTCAGTTAAGAAGAATCTGTACCAAGCCCGGAAACTCCAGTCTGTACAAAATTGCTTGTACACTACGCGGTGTGTGCAAAAATTGCTATACACTCCGCACTTTGTACAATTTCAGGCTTTGTACGTAACATATATTATAAAAAATTTTAAAAGTAAAAATGTAATATTTCTTTTATAATTAGCTATATGAGTTACAGATACGGCCCTGACAGGTATCTTTTTAAAATTATATAACAATTCTCAGTAAATGAAAAATAATTCAGTTGAATTGAAATGAATACAACCCAAGGCTTCTGTGAATCCCGCTTAGCGACAAATTCGAATTAGAGCTATGTTGCAATTCTCCTGAATTCGACAAAGCATGTATTCAACTTCCAAACTCTCTATCCGTACTAATTCAATGAACAAATTTTGGGGCTTTACTTTTTCAAGTCGTCAGCATAAATTCAATTGACGATTTGGTCATTTTGTTTGAATTCTCAACCGATAAAAACTCATTGGTACGAAATGAATTTAATATACAATACGCTTTACTGAATCTTGCTTAGCGACAAATACGAATAGGACATTGTCAAAAAGTTAATTAATTTTAATTCATTTGAATTAGTTTTTTTACTGGGAAACTTTATAAAAATTTATTAAACCAAAAGTAAATTCAAAAGGATATTTTTTAATAAATTTGAATTCGTACATCCAGTGATATATTTGATTATAAATCATATTCTTCAGGAATAACAGGATAAAAAATTTCTATTGAAAAATGTTTTATTCAGTTATTCTTGAAGAATAAAATTTTTTATCAGATATTTTTTAAACTGACTACTATTTTGTTTTAGAATAAAAAAAGAAACTCGCAAAATAGGAATATAAATTTCCAAACAAGAAAGTTATTATGAAGAATCAGATATAAATTCAAATTAAAATAATCGGTTCATTAAGAAAAAAGTTAAAAAGTTCAAGACCCCATAAGCAGTATCGCAAATTCACCGGTCGCTATAAATAAATGAATTGTAAATGTTTCGCAAAAGCTAAATGCTGTAGCAGAAGAACAAATTGTTACAAGTGGTAAGAAAATTATAAATATTTGAGAATTTTTATTCTAATGAAAATATAAAAATTTCTTATTATGTATTTATAAATAATAATAATAATTAATAATAATTTTCTTGCATCATCCATGGCGGATTTAATTTACCCAATATCTACCCAGCTAGGTGAATATTGGGCCAACATTAAGAATAACGTAAAAAAATTGATAAATCAGTTAAAATTGTTCAAAAAAATGGTACTTGAGAAACGGATTTCTTAATGTTATTTCTCTCTCCAGAATTAAAATTTCTCTCAACTCAAATGGCTGAAGGTTTTATCAAGATTAAATCATCTGTTTTCAATCTTCAAGGTCAGTTTACTGACTTTAACACTAAACTTTCAACGGTGAAAGATGGCCTTGCTCGTGCTCATTCACGATTAGATACCGAAGAGGAACGTATATCTGATATAGATCTCACACAAACAAATGGAGCCAGTGAGTACATTTTATTTAAAACTGAACTTCGCATTAAAGTCAAAAGTAATTTAGTCATTTTTTGGACTAACGGAACCCATCTCTAATAACACTTATGATCTTAACTGTGATAAAAATAATATATCTGATTTATTTAATTGTATATCTCCTGAG